GTCCAGTGGAGCCTGAGCTGTGGGTGTTGCCTTCTGACACACTTCCGGTGCTGTCAGGGGGTGTGGCACATGCAAATAAGTTATGCTAATGAGCTCCTGGACCTCTTTTTCTACGAAATGACCCCTGGTGAGGACTATCACCAGACCATTATGACGGGAATTTTCCACTAACAAAGGGGGGGGGGGGCCCTGTGGTCTCCCAAGACGACTTCTTCCCCTTCCCCCTTCTCCCATCCCAGGCTCTCTGGGTCTTCATTTCCTCCCCCACCCCCACCTTTGAAAGCACCTTCTCGCTCTCACTTTCATCCTGCCTTTGGAGGAAATACAACTTTTGAGATTTACCTCCTTAGACATGACATCAGAGATATTGTAAGTTTCATCTTCTCTGGATCTCTTTTTTGCACCTGTAACAAAATATTATGCGGATTTCAGCAGCTGAATGTATAAGAACCAGCAAAACCAATCATTAGGGGTTTTTTTTTAAGACTTACCTTGCTTGACTTCTCTTTCACCAGTAAGTTTTTCATTCTGTAAGGCAGAGTATTTAAAGGAGGAATTAGCTTGCTTATATGCTTCGTACACATAAAGGTAAAAGGTAAAGGGTTCCCTTGCTCGAAAGCCCGTCGAATCCGACTCTAGGGTTGCGGTGCTCATCTCCGTTTCAAAGCTGAAGAGCCAGCGCTGTCCGAAGACGTTTCTGTGGTCATGTGGCCGGCATGACTAAACACCAAAGCGCACGGAACGCTGTTACCTTCCCACCGAAGCAGTACCTATTTATCTACTTGCAATGTCTTGCTTTTGAACTCCTAGGTTGGCAGGAGCTGGAACCAGAGATGGGAGCTCACTCCGTCATGTGATGCACCCGGGTCTCGAACTGCTGAACTACCGACCTTCCACAGCCTGCAGTTCAGCGTCTTAACCACTTGAGCCACCGCAGCTCCCCATACACATAAAACTGATACTCAAAATCACTAGCATGAACAATTATTCTCAGACTTTTTATACCCTTCAGAAACTGCTTTTAAGATTCCTGCCTCAAATGATTTCCAAAGGTTTTTTATCAGGGAGCAGAGAATAAAGTTGGAGCTATCTTTTTTTCCCCTCAAATAAGGAAGACACCCTTGAAGATGCTTTCAAGGCTCAATATTTTCCACAAAAATTAACAGTGGCCGCAACCTATAGTCAGATCAGATTTATTGTTACGGTCAACAACCAGCACACTCAGCCTTTTACATAAAAATGTTCGAATAAGAAATATGGAGTAAAACCAACAGTGGCATTCTTAAATTAAAAACGGACTAATAGTCTCCATGTGAATTGCCCTATGGTAAAGGTAAAGGTCTCCCTTGCTCGAAAGCCAGTCGAGTCCGACTCTAGGGTTGCGGTGCTTATTTCCGTTTCCAAGCCGAAGAGCCAGCACTGTCCGAAGACATTTCCGTGGTCATGTGGCCGGCATGACTAAACACCAAGGCGCACCGAACGCTGTTACCTTCCCACCGAAGGGGTACCTATTTATCTACTTGCAATTTCTTGCTTTCGAACTGCTGGGTTGGCATAGGCATATACCCCTATGGTATATGCAGTTAAAGAACATGTGTTCCAGAGATTCTATTGGATATTGGAAGATGACGGCGGTGTAGCAGCGTTCCTCAGAGACGCCTCTTTGCTTCCTGAAATCTATTAATTCTCAGAGCAGCTGGGCCTTGTTTGATCTACAAGTTGCTGTTTTAAAGCTGCCAGGAATTCTCCTCTCTACACTGAATATCATCAGGAATTTTCCTATCTCTCGGCTGTTATAAACTAAACGGTGATCATCCCTTGCTGGCAAGGACTGAGCTGCCTAAGAGTAACCATCTTCTACTCCTGCAATTTAGGACAGAAGCCTCTCACAAAAGACATGCCGATTAGGTAAGCTATGGCAATCAATGCTCCCTCTAAGCTGTGGAATCTTGTGAGCAAAAATTCTACTTTGTGAGCTACTTGCATTAAAGTTGTGAGCGAGCAATTTGGCTACTGCATAAATCAGTTTGCTCTGGAGCCATCCTCCCTGAGCGAAGGCAAAAAAGTGTGAGCCGGAGGGTAAAAAACTAGCTCACACTAACTCAGCTTAGAGGGAACACTGGTGGCAATTGCCGGAAAAATGTAAATATTTCTCTTTCTCTTTTAATCAACTCCAGTTTACAAAGTGCGTTTAAAGGAGTATTAACATCCTCAGAGGCAGCAATGGGAAAATACAGAAGGGGGAGAGAGGCAGAGATCGGCACAACTGTACTCCCGACTTGTAAACAAACCAAGCTGGAAGATTTCTTTATGCCTAAAGACAATACATTGGATGAGTTCCCAACCTCAAACCTATTTTCCCCGCTGGCTGAGCAAGATCTCAACAGTAACAGTGACGAACAACACAGAGGAGGAAAAGATGAGGGGAGTGCCGATATTACAAGGTCACCAGAGAGAGAAAATGGAATTAAAGGCAGAGGTGCCGTTAGCGTCTTGAATGAACTTTCTTACTTGACTGCTCAAACAGCCAGCAGTATTTTCAAGAAGCTACAGAGTCCGTCTAAATGAATGCCAAAATGTCACACACACTGTTCCCTCTAAGCTGTGGAGTCTTGTGAGCAAAAATTCTACTTTAAGCTACTCCTTCCTGAGCTGAGACAAAAATGTGTGAGCCGGAGGCTAAAAAACTTTGAGCTAGCTCACACTATCAGCTTAGAGGGAACAATGGTCACACACGCACATGGAGCTTATGCTGGAATAGGTTTCATTAGCCTTTAAGGTGCCACTAGACCCCCCATTTCATTGCCCTATGGAAACGTTGCACAAATGCAGTCTGAAGTGTGGAATAACAGATTCCAGCCCTTCACTACAGCACAAGGACAGCAAGCAGTGCTCTGCTCCTGCAGGGGGAACTCTTCAGCACACACCCCCACACCCCTCAGAAGTCCCACCAACGGGGCCCCCTCTGGACTAGCACCCTATGCGCCACCGGAATGCAAGTAAAGAAAGAGGTCCTTTTCTCCCTTTCTCACAATACAAGAACTCGTGGACACTCCATGAAATTGCTGAGCGGTCGGGTTAGAACGGATAAAAGGAAGTACTTCTTCACCCAAAGAATGATTCACACTTGGAATTCACTGCCACAGGAAGTGGTGGCGGCTACAAGCATGGACGGCTTCAAGAGGGAATTAGATAGGCATATGGAGCAGAGGTCCATCAGTGGCTCTTAGCCACAAGGTATAGATAGGGGCTCTGGGGCAAGTGATGCTCTGTCTTCTTGGTGCTTGGGGGGGTCAACAGTGGGAGGGCTTCTAATGTCCTGGCCCCACTGCTGGACCTCCTGATGGCACCTGGTATTTCTGGCCACTGTGTGATACAGAGTGCTGGGCTGGATGGGCCTTTGGCCTGATCCAACATTGGCGTCTCTTAGGTTCTTATGTTCCTCCATGGATGCAAGGAAACACTTTCTGCTTCTGGGGATTTGAATCTGTCAGGCCGCCCTCTCATGGATCTGGAATGTGGAGGGGGGTTCCCTCCTTCTCGTTCTCAGCTCTTCCCTGTCCAGCTACTGTGCGCTATCTCAGGCTTGACCTTGTAGCATGCAGCTACATTTTACTCGGCTGGGAAAGTAACGGCTTTTCGCTGTGCCCGCTTGCTTTTGCCCCCACGCACGAACCATAATCATTGGCTTCAGCTCATTGGGGGGGATGTTTGATTTCACTGTAAGTCAGAGGCTCTTCTACTGAAGGCTATTCCTGACACAAGCTGTATACGTGTTCATTAGTACTGGATCCATCAATAAACAGTTATCTTCCTATGAAGCCCTGTGTGGTGTGACCTGACTAATGACCCTGACAGAATCCTGGGCAAATTGTACAAAACAGTGAAATCAGAGAACTTGCCCCGCACTAGTGCTGCCGGCTCTGGGTTGGGAAATACCTGGGGGAATACTTGGTTTTTTTTTTTTTTGGGGGGGGGGGTGTTGGAGACTGAGGTGGGCAGGGCTTGTGGAGGGGAGGGGACTTCAGCAGGCTACCGTGCCACAGAGTCCACCTATCAAGGTGGCCATTTTCTCCGGGGGAGCTGAGATGGGTCGTCTGTAATCAGTGTTCCCTCTAAGCTGAGTTGGTGTGAGCTAGCTCACAGTTTTTCAGCCTCCAGCTCATACATTTTTGTCTTAGCTCAGGAAGGAGGTCTCCAGAGCAGACTAATTTCTGCAGCAGCCAAATTGCTTGCTCACAACTTTAATGCCGGTAGCTCACAAAGTACGATTTCTGCTCACAGGGCTCCATAGCTTAGAGGGAACATTGGCGTAATTGTTGGAGTTCGCCAGCCACCCCCTGGAGATTGGCAACCCTATACACGGAGGTTTTTCTCCATTTCAGCAATGCTAGTCATGAACTTTTTTAAAAAAATCCACATGATTGTCTTGTATTCCTGCCTAAATCCTAAAGAGCCTGTTCCCCCCCCAAGTAGTTTTTTTTAAATCCTGAAAACATCGAAACGCCTAAAGAGCCTGTTCCCCCCCCCAAAGTAGTTTTTCTTTTAAATCCTGAAAATATCAAAACATTGCGGAAGATGTTATTCCTATATCACAATGCAAGGGGGGGGGGATCTCCATTCTCTCAATTTGCATTTGAAAAAATTCCTCAAGGGCCCTTTCCCATCCCCTCAAAGCACCGAGAGGCCAAGCGGGTCTTGGGTAGATTATCCGGAATCTTCCAGCAATTAGCATCCCCAAAGGATTCAAGTACTGCCTTACTCTGGAGAAGCACAACACAAAAGCAGGTCGTGTTGCCCCCCCCCCCCATGTAACTTTGGGTTATTTTTCAGCCAGGCTAACAATGCACCCTCTCAACCAACTTCCTTGTAAAGGTGGTTGGAGAACAATGATAGAAGCTTGACAACAGTGGGGTGCACATGTCCTGTCCCCCATCTCCACTCCCCCCTGTGAAATCTGCATCTGGTGTGAAAGAGCTAAAAAAAAAAACAATTGCCAGCAGCATTACCACAACAGGAAAAAACATCTCCAGGAAGAACCAGCCCTGGTGACTATTTGCCATGGTAGATTCGGCGACAAACTCATTGTGCCAGTTTACAGAAAGTATTCATCATCCTATGTTTATCTAATATTAAGTCACTTACCTTTGTCGTTTTTAACATTTCTTTTCTTTCTACTTTTTCTTTTTTGCGTTGCTCCTAAAAATAGAAGAATAAAGAAGTGCACACATGCCTCTGGTATCATTAACCTAGTGATCGAAAACTGGGGGGGGGGGGGGGGGGGGAGCCACAGAATCCGGCTGAAAGCACTGGGTAATTTTGCTAGATTTTGGCCTTTTTTTGGGCAGATGTTCTGAAAGGTCTTTAGTGTCTAGATCTGATTCTACATAAGAAGCATTTTTTAACACATCACAAACTTCCAGAGCATTTGAAGCACTGCAAATTTTAAAAAAGTATATTAAGGAGGTTGAAATGCAAGCAGAAAACAAAACTAGAGCATGCTAACACAGTAATGTCCAATTATCCTAACACTTTTTTTGCTTTCTATTTTAGCTTGTCTCTAATAAATCCTGATATTTTTTCTAGGGCTGAAGTGTGGACAGCATTATTTACATGTGTTTTTTTCCCTCTCTCCCTGGAAACGAACCCAAGACTGAAGAGACAAACCTCCCGGAGAAGGGAGCCTTAGTTATTATGGCAAACTGCCCCTTGCCAGCTTTTGGAACCTGGAGGGGCTGTGTCTTTAGCACACAGACACATCCTCACATCCCTGTGACACCAGCATAACTTGCCTCACAACTGAGGCATGCACGAGAATTGGTGCCTTTCATGCATCACGTGTTCATGTGCAGACATCACATTTCGTGGGTGGCGGGAGATCTTTCAGGAATGATACAGGAGCTCTTGGGGGGGGGTGTATGGAAGTCGATGCTCGGCAAGGTACTCTGGACTTAGAAGAGTCGATGGCTTTAAAGAGCAAAACAGCCTGGAAATTTAACTGGGGAACTGCCCGCTGATAGGACAGGGATCGCGAAGCTTTGCATCAGCTCACGCTTCCAGGCGGTTTCCGAAGGGCAGCCATAATTCAGCAACCTGATCTGGGATGACAGCAGCCGTGTATCTATTTCACAGCAGAAGGCACAGCTAACAAACCGGCCAAAAGTGGTGTCCAATTTCATTCTGATTTTCTGTCACAATGAAGCTCTGGAGCATGCCTCCACGAACACAACACTTGCTGCACACTTGTGACTTACGTGCTCAGCGAACCATAATTGACTCTTCTAAGTCCAGCTGAGACGTGACAAATCCAGGCGAGCGTCTGAGCTTTGACAGAGCACACTTACCTCTAGCTGCTGCTGCTCCATTTTGGTCAGCAAGAACTTGGAGTAGATATTGCTTTTCTCAAGCAAGTGCTGAAGCCTCTTATAGCGCATTTCATTTGAGTCTCTATCCCAGGACATGCGAGCCTGCGAAGCAGAAGAAGACAGCCACCTATCAGTTCCAACAGTGCGTACACCCCTACTTAACTGAGCTGGATGACTCAAGTTAGTCCAAGGTTGTTGGACCTCAGAAGCTTAAAGTAAGGAAGTGTCCCTGGTTAGTACATGGACAGGAGACCACCACGAAGGAAGCCCCAGGTCTCTATGCAGAGGCAGGAAGGGGAGGGAGAGGAGGAGGAAGATGAAGAAGAGGAGGAGGAGATTGGATTTACACCCTGCCCTTCACTCGAAGTCCCAGAAGGGCTTACAGCTGCCTTCCCTTCCTCTCCCCACAACAGACACCCTGTGAAGTAGGTGAGGCTGAGAGAGCTCTGAAAGAACTGAGACTGAGCCAAGGTCACCCAGCAGCTGCATGTGGAGAAGTGGGGAATCAAACCCGGTTCTCCCAGACTAGAGTCTGGTCTCTTAACCACTACACCAGACTGGTTCTCTATGGCAAACCAACTCTGTTCATAAGAACATAAGAGATGCCAATGTTGGATCAGGCCAAAGGCCCATCCAGTCCAACACTCTGTATCACACAGTGGCCAGAAATACCAGGCGCCATCAGGAGGTCCACCAGTGGGGCCAGGACATTAGAAGCCCTCCCACTGTTGACCCCCCCCCCCAAGCACCAAGATGACAGGGCATCACTTGCTCCAGAGCCCCTATCTATACCTTGTGGCTAATAGCCACTGATGGACCTCTGCTCCATATGTTAATCTAATTCCATCTTGGAGCCATCCATGCTTGTAGCCGCCACCACTTCCTGTGGCAGTGAATTCCAAGTGTTAATCACTCTTTGGGTGAAGAAGTACTTCCTTTTATCTGTTCTAACCGTTAATCTCTTGCCTTGAGGCCATGACCTGATGGCACTTTCCACCACCACCACCCTAGTTTCCATGCCACGGAGGGCGACAACTGCAGCCACGGAAATTAAGTTAGCTTTGCAGCGAGGAGACAATGTAAATTTCAGCCCCTCAACATTCCCTAGGGGAATGGTTTCTACCAGTTCTGCCCTGAGGGTTCCCTGGACTGCATTTAAATATTGCATGTATTAATAACTGCTCTAGCTCACTAAAAATGCTTTATCGTTTCGATCGTTCTGTTAGAAGAGACTTAGAACCACAGAGCTGGAAGGTACATCCAAGAGTCATCTAGTCCAACTGTCAGGTAGCCCTGTCATAGAATTGGAATGTTCTCAGCTCGGTTCCCGGCACAGACCCAAATGAGCACCTACCTTCTCCATGATCTGTCTCTCCTCCTCCTCCCCTTCGGCCTCCAGCTGCTGCTCCTCCTGCTGCATGGCCGGCGTGATCACTGCGTCTCCCATTTCTTCCTTCCTTTCTGCCACCAGGAGCCCTGCAATCAAAGCACAAAAGGAGGGGGGCATCAGCCCCGAAAAGTTCCTACAAACTGCGGGAGAGAGAGAAGAAGAAGTAAAGGCTGAAGGACTCTGAATTGTGCTTTTGAGAACTTTAGTTCTAGGAGATGATGGGGGGCACTGTTATTGGGCAATTAAATGTAACTGGGGATGGTTAAAAGATTGACACAGTTCATAAGAAGTACAAAGATGAAAAGTCTGAATGAAGTATAAAAAGCTAGTTGGAGATCTCCTCTCTTGGGTTTTTAGTTAGTAGTGGGTTCTTTACTTTCTCCCTTATATGCAGCTTTCCCTTTTTTCTGTTCTAGTTTTTGTAGTGTTTAAAAAATCAATTAAAAATCCCATCCAGGGGCTTTAAAAAAAAAAGCACAAAAGGAGGAGGAACGTAAGAACATCAGAGAAGCCTACGATGGATCAGGCCAGTGGGGCCAGGGCGCTACCAAAGCCCCAAGAAATTAACAGAGCATCCCTTGCACCAGACTGAAAGCTCCTATAAGAACATAAGAGAAGCCAATGTTGGATCAGGCCAGTGGCCCATCCAGTCCAACACTCTGTGTCACACAGTGGCCAAAAATACCAGGTGCCATCAGGAGGTCCAGCAGTGGGGCCAGGACATTAGAAGCCCCTCCCCCTGCTGCCCCCCCCCCAAGCACGAAGAATACAGAGCATCCCTTGCCCCAGAATCCCTATCTATACCTTGTGGCTAATAGCCACCGATGGACCTCTACTCCATATGCTTATCTAATTCCCTCTTGAAGCCATCTTGGCGTGTAGCTGCCGCCACCTCCTGTGGCAGTGAATTCCACGTGTTAATCACCCTTTGGGTGAAGAAGGACTTCCTTTTATCCATTCTAACCTGACTGCTCAGCAGCTTCATTGAGTGCCCACGAGTTCAGTATTGTGAGAAAAGTACTTCTTTCTCTACCTGTTCTATCCCTTGCATAATCTTATAAACCTCGATCATGTCACCCCTCAGCCGTCGTTTCTCCAAGCTTAAGAGCCCCAAGCATTTTAACCTTTCTTCAGAAGAAAAGTGTTCCAACCCTTTTATCATTCCAGTTTCCCTTTTTCTGCACTTTTCCTAACGCTATAATATCCTTTTTGAGGTGTGGTGACCAGAACTGTACACAGCACTCCAAATGAGGTTGCACCATCGATTTATACAGGGGCATTATGATACTGACTGATTTGTTTTCAGTTCCCTTCCTAATAATCCCCAGCACAGTGTTGGCCTTTTTTATTGCGGTCGCACACTGTCTCGACATTTTCATTGAGTTACCTACTACGACTCCAAGATCTCTCTCTTGGTCAGTCTTTCAGTTCGGATCCCATCAGCGTGTATTTATACTTAGTTAGGATTTTTGGCCCCAATGTGCATCCCTTTGCACTTGGCCACATTGACGCCCATCCTCGACAGATCCCTTTGGAGTGCCTCACAATCCTCCCTGGTTTTCACCACCCTGAACTGTTTCGTGTTATCGACAAATTTAGCCACTTCACTGCATGCTCTCAACTCCAAATCATTAATCAACAAGTTAAAAAGCATAGGACGGAGTACTGATCCCTGTGGTACCTCACTGCTTACCACACACCACTGAGAAAATTTCCCATTTATACTCATTCTCTGTTTCCTATTAATTAGCCAGTTTTTGATCCACAAAAGGACTTGTCCTTTTATCCCATGACTATTGAGCTTACTTAGGAGCCTTTGATGAGGAACTTTCTGGAAGTCAAGGTAAACAACATCTATTGGGTCCCCCTTGTCCAGATGTTTGTTCACCAGCTCGAAGAATACTAACAAGTTAGAGAGACAAGACTTCCCCTTACAGAACCATGCTGAGTCTGCCTCAATAGTTTTTGTTCATTAATGTGCCTATTAATTCTTTCCACCAACTTACCCAGAATCATTGTCAGACTGACTGGCCTGTAATTTCCAGGATCTCCTCTGGAACCCTTTTTAAAGATCGGAGTGACATTAGCTACCTTCCAGTCCTCAGGAATGGAGGCAGATTTTAATGAAAGATCACATATTTTTGTCAGGAGGTCCCTCTGGCACACAATGCCCCCCCTTGGCAGAAGGAAGAGGCCTTTTCACTTTGCTCTGGGACCCCAAAGGCTTCCTTCGCCTTTTTATTTGACAGCAGCTCAAAAGAGCAATTTTGGGGGGCTTCTGTGGCAAAGGACAGACTGCCCTCAAACCACATATGCAAGACAGAGCACTCCACAGCCAATGTTCCCTCTAAGCTGAGTTAGTGTGAGCTAGCTCAGAGTTTTTAAGCCTCCGGCTCACACATTTTTGTCTCAGCTCAGGAAAGATGGCTCCAGAGCAAACTAATTTATGCAGCAGCCTAACTGCTTGCTCACAACTTTAATGCCAATAGTAGCTCACAAAGTAGATTTTTTGCTCACAGGACTCCATACCTTAGAGGGAGCACTGCTCCACACCAATGCTCCCTCTAAGCTGTGGAGTCTTGTGAGCAAAAAATCTACTTTGTGAGCTACTATTGGCATTAAAGTCGTGAGCGATTTGGCTGCTGCATAAGCCAGTTTGCTCTGGAGCCCTCCTCCCTGAACGAAAACAAAACTGTGTGTTGTTGTTGTTCAGTCGCACAGTCGAGTCCGACTCTCCGCAACCCCCTGGACCAGATCATGCCAGGCCCTCCTGTCTTCCGCCGTCCTCTGAAGTTTGAGAGCCAGAGGCTAAAAAATTGTGATCTAGCTCACACTGACTCAGCTTAGAGGGAACACTGCTCCACACAGGCCCAGGAACATTCTCCCGTTAAGAAAAGTTTCTCCACTCTGCACATGCCCAGGAACATTCTCCCGGGAAGAAAAGTTTCTCCACTCTGCACATGCCCAGGAACATCCTCCCGGGAAGAAAAGTTTCTCTACTCTGCACATGCCAAGGAGCTTTCTCCCGGGAAGAAAAGCCTTTCCACCCTGGCACATGCCCACAGGGTTGCCATCCTCCAGGTGGTGGCTGGAGGTCTCCCGGGAATGACAAGTCACCCCCACGCAACACAGAAAGCGGTTGGTCGTGAAGGTGGAACTCTTTGCCATCAAACCCCACTGAAATCCTTCCCCCTCCCCGAGCCCCGCCATCCCTAGACTCCAACCTTTCCAACCTCCAGGTATTTCCCAACCAGGCGCTACATGCCCCTGCATGCCCCGAAGGAGCACTCTCCTGGGGAAGAAAAGCCTCGCCACTCTGCACATGCCCGGGGGAACCCTTTCTGGAAAGAGGAGCCTCCTTTCCTTTCCCCGCTCTCTGCACATGCCTAGGGGCACCGCTGGCTGCTCGCTCTTTCCTTCCTTCCTACCTCCACCGGCGTCGCTCCCGCTCGAGCCACCCTTGCTGCCGCTGTCCTCCACCGGCATGGCCGCGCCGCCGCCGCCTCCGGACAAAGCGAGAAAGGAGCGATCGAGCGACCCCGTCAGCGACCGAGAGGCTCCCCCGCGTCCCTCCGCCGCGAAAACCGCGCGCTTCCCAGACCTCGCGAGAAGAGGCGGGCGAGATCTGCCCTCCGGGCGCGCGGCCAATCAGAGAGGCGGAAATCCCCCGCGGGACTCGCCGGCCGGGAGGGCGCCCGGCGAGAGCCGCCATTGGCCGGCGGGCTCGAGGGGCGGGAGGTGGCCGTGGCCCCGCCCCCGCCCCGCTTGCCTGCCCCGCGGGGGTCTGATCTGAGCTCGCGGCGCGTGCGCTGTGCGGGGCACACCCTGGAAAGCGTTAGACGAGAGTCTGAGCTCAGCGGAGTTTTTATTCACGGTGTGAGCGTTCGTGTGGACGCACGCCTCTTCTGATGCACGTGCACAAAGCGCGGAAGCTGATCCCCGGAATTAAACTGCGTTGGTTTTCCACGTGCCACTGTGTTGGGTGTTACAAGTCAAAGCACTTCAGTATTTTCAGGGTTAATGATGTTTCTTTTTTTTTTGGTAAACAAACTTTTTATTTTCAATAGGAACTTAACATCCAACAATACTCATTTTCACTTTCCCTTCGTTTACCCCGTTCCCCTTACCTCCCCTTCCTCCTGTGGCTTCCCGCAATGCTTCCACCCTTCCACCCACATTATAATACGTCATCAGTTAAATCATTTTTCTTATCACTACTGTCTCCAGATAACAAGGGTTAATGATGTTTCTTAAGTCACAGATTTGTTTGTAACCAGTCTGTTGAGACAATAGGATGCCCGGGAACTTTGGAGCTAGTTTGCTACTCTGATTGGGAACCAAGGTGTCAAGGATTAGCATTTTACGGCTTCTTCTTCCCGTTTTTTGTGTTCTTTGTTCTGACCTGTTCTGCACAGGGAAGCTGACCTGAGAAGGAGACGCCTGGCTCTCCCCGTTTTTAGATGCAAGGATGTAGGCATAAGCTCCTTGTTATTTTGTATCCTGTGTACCTTTTCCCCATGTTAGGGTTATAGTAAACTTTTATATTTTAATACACACCATGGACTCAGTCTCTTAATACTCTGCTGACTAACTTTAAAAGAATCCCATCACACTGGACTCAAACTTTGTTCTAAAGTTTTGTTCTGCACAGGGAAGCTGATCCCCAGAATTAAACTTCGTTGGTCCTCAACATGCCACTGGACTCAGACTTTGTTCTGAAGTTTTGTTCTGCACAGGGAAGCTGATCCCCAGAATTAAACTTACTTTGTTGGTCCTCAACGTGCCCCTGGAATGAAACTTTTGTTCTGCTTCTTCAGGTCAGCACAGCGACCCCAACTGGGTCTCTCTTCATGGAGAGTACTTGACTGTTTCGCAGGGTCTGGCAGAAATCACTCTCTCCCACTCAGCCTGCTGCATTTTTAAAAAAAATTTTAGAACATACTTTATACCCCACTTTTCTCCCCAATGGGAAGCCAGAGTGTCTTACCTGTCTCTCCCCTCCCCTGTTTTATTCTCACAACAACCCTGCAAGGTCGGTCATGCTGAGAGTGACTGGCCCAAGGTCACCCAGCGGGCTTCCATGGCAGAGTGGGGTTTTGAACGTGGGTCTCCCAGGGCCAAGTCAGACACTCTGCTACCCCTCATTGGCTACAGACAATGGACTGTATTTGCATTCCCTTGGGTGGCTTAAAATTCACATTTTTTTCATGTTTTTATTGTTGCGCAAACTTCAGAGGACGGCGGAAGACAGGAAGGCCTGGCGTGATCTGCTCCATGGGGTCGCGGAGAGTCGGACTCGACTGTGCCACTGAACAACAACACCAACACCCTGAGCCCTGTTCTTACAGGGGAGGGCGGTCTAGAAATATAACTGTAATGTATCCGGCCCTGTCAGGGCCAGGCACGCCTGGACTGGCCCAGGCACAAACACCACTAGCTTCATGCCAAAAGACAATGGGCCAGTAGGATCCTAGCCAGGCCCAATGAAAGGGCTAGGTCCCAGGCCAAGAGGCCTATAGGTCTCTTGGTTACTGTAAATAGCCTATCGGGAGTGGGGGGTGTTTGGTGGTGGGTTTCTCTGAGGGAATATAAGCCGGCCTGCGAGCCGGTCAAGGTGTCTTTGTTCCTAAATAAAGGTATGCTTAGCTGAAATCACTCTCCGTATTCCTACTTTTCAATAACTTAATAGATAATTTTCCTCCATGCATTCTAAGAAGGGTGGGGCAGGGGAGTTGCCCTTTCCCAATTTTTCGTTGTAGTTTGTAGTCTATTAAAAATGCAATTAAAAATCCCCTCTGGGGGGGCCTAAAAAACACAAAAAACCCCAGCAACTCCCCATCCATTCCACAAAAGCCAGTGTGGTATAGCGGTTAGAATTTCAGATAAGGATCTTGGAGATGCGCGCTTGAGCCTGCCTCGGTGGGGAGGGTGGGGTATAAATCAAATAAATAAATCCCAATTCTGCTTGGAGGTCCACTGGGTGACTTTTGGGCCACTTACACGTTCTCAGTCTAACCTACCTCACAGGACTGAGAGGATAAACTGGAGGAGAGAAAAATGCTCGTCAGCTGATTTCGGTACCCATTGTTGAGAAAGGTGGGGTATAAATGAAGTACATGATATAGCTGAAGATGGGGGGGGCATGGGAAACATCAGTTGGTGGATGGGTAGGAAGAAGAAAAGGAAGCATGGAAAGGTGTGGATACTGGGGTTGCCAGGAGGAGGGAAAGAAGAAATAGTGCCGTCTGGTGGGGGGGAGTGCTTAGGGGGCTGACTGGCTGCTACACTGATGGGTCTCCTGTTTGTACACACTAATTGTGGTAGCACATGCAGCAGAGCTTGCAAAATGCATCCTGCTGTTATGCATTTTTACACAGATGATCGTTCCCTTGAACTTCATGGGACAGGCCACCAAGCCAACATGTATACTTCCTAGTACGTGTCACTGATGATAACGGTTGCACTCTTTAACAGTCTAATCCCGGGTGTGTTTAATTGGAAATAAATTGCATGGCTTTTAATAGAATGTACTCATAATTACAGGAGCTGCGGTGGCTCAAGTGGTTAAGACGCTGAACTGCAGGCTGTGGAAGGTCGGTAGTGCAGCAGTTCGAGACCCGAGTGTGCCGCATGACGGAGTGAGCTCCCGTCTCTGGTTCTAGCTTCTGCCAACCTAGCAGTTCGAAAGCAAGAAATTGCAAGTAGATAAATAGGTACCACTTCGGTGGGAAGGTCACAGCGTTCCGTGCGCCTTGGTGTTTAGTCATGCCGGCCATGTGACCACGGAAACGTCTTCGGACAGCGCTGGCTCTTCGGCTTGGAAACGGAGATGAGCACCGCAACCCTAGAATCGGATTCGACTGGCTTTCGAGCAAGGGAACCTTTACCTTTTTACTCATAATTACATATGCATAGGATTATAATCTAAGAGTCTGTGTAAATAAACTATTTTAAGTTGTATCCACTAGAGAGCAGTGTAACACATAGTATTTGAAGATCGATTCAGGTGTTGGTCTGAAGCAGCAGAAAAAAAGTTCCCATCCAGTGGGCACTAAAGTTTAATTCTGGGCATAAGCTTTTGTGTGCATGCACACACACAAAAGCTTATACCTTGAATGAGTCTCTGGCCCCGGTCGCACTGGGGGGAAAGGTGCGGCTGAAGTGCGGCTTTTTTGAGCCGCATCAAAAGAGACGCGCAGCGGCGGAATCAGACAGATCCCCTGAGCGGCCGCGCAGTTGCTACCCGGCAGTATCAGATGCCCAGGGGGGGGGGGGGCCCCAGATCGGTGAGCGAGGGAGCCCGCTGCGCATGTGTGTGCCTGCGCAGTTTGGCCAAGGGCCTTGCATGCTGCCGGAGACGGGCGCGGCGGCAATCCCACGGCTGCCCCTGCTGCGGATTTTTAGGTAAGTAGTAGTGTTTTGTAGGGTTTTTTTTGATCCGCATCTTCGGCCGGAAGAGACAGATTGGGGACGGGGGACGGCGCTTCCCAGATGTTGCAGTGTGATCGCGCCCGCTTGCTGTGCCCCCGATCCGTCCCTCTCGCGGATCAAAGCCTCCCGTGTGACCGGGGCCTCTGTTGGTCTTGAAGAACTAGAATGTAATAGATGAACAGGGACCTACTCCAATGACAGAAAACAGTTGTTTTTGTCCTTTCAAATAGGTAAAGGTTCCCTTGCTCGAAAGCCAGTCGAATCCGACTCTAGGGTTGCGGTGCTCATCTCCGTTTCAAAGCCGAAGAGCCAGCGCTGTCCGAAGATGTTTCTGTGGTCATGTGGCCGGCATGACTAAACACAAAGGCGCACGGAACGCTGTTACCTTCCCACCGAAGTGGTACCTACTTATCTACTTGCAATTTCTTGCTTTCGAACTGCTAGGTTGGCAGGAGCTGGAACTAGAGATGGGAGCTCACTCCGTCATGCGGCACACTCGGGTCTCGAACTGCTGAACTACCGATCTTCCACAGCCTGCAGTTCAGCGTCTTAACCACTTGAGCCACCGCAGCTCCTGGTCCTTTCAAATAGCCATAGCCAAATTACAAAGCCCCTTCTGTGATATTCTGACCAATTTCTACAGGGAGTGGCTCAATATAACAGTATGGAAAATGGGTGTAATATGAATTTTTTGCCTAGCTTGCTATGGTAAGTAACCTGCAGCATTTTGTACCAACAAGACTTTCTGAGGGGACTTCAAGGGCGGACCCATGTAGGGTCCATTACAGTAGTCTAGTCTCAAGGTCACTGTGTCATGGATCCATGTGGCCAGATTCGAGGGAGGAGGGTATCATCTAAGCCAAAATGGTGGTAGAAAGCATTTCTTGCAGCATCATTCCTTTGCTTCTCCGGGGGGGAAAATTGAGTACAGTATTGAGTGCAACCGTTAGGATCAGAGTCCTAACGAAGCCAGCAAGTGTCAGCTGAACCCTGTCAAATGTTGGGTGTACGATGTCCTTCAAGACTTTGGCCTTCTCAGCTAACTTCACCTCTGTCTTGTCAGGATTCAGTTTCAACTTGTTCGCTCAGCCACCTAACCACACCAGTCAAACAGGGGCTCAAGGCCTCTACAGTGTCACCAGGTGATATGGA